GAGGTTTTTTGTGATATCTTCACAAAGTACTCCCTGTTTTGTACTTGTTGTGAATATTTTTTATCAAAGTTACTTTCATATATTTTTGATGTTATTCTAATGGCTGAACCAGAATATTATTTGTTGAAAATTGATAGGCAGTTGGAACACTGCGTAAAAAGCTCTGGTCAATCGCTGCTACTTTGCATCTGATAGGAATTAGTCGAGAAGTGAAATATGCTCGAATGTTTTTGTGACTCATACCCGAAATGCTGGGAGAACAGACGTGGGAGCTGTCACATGTGGTAGATACGCGTTAATCATGGATCACTGTGTTTATATTTTGCTCACAATTAAAGTTTGATCGAAACAATTCCAAAGAAAACAAACGTTTCAACACTATTTTACTTACATGTATATTCAGAAATTTAACGTTGTTTTGTTTCATATTGACACAAAAATGAAACACCTCATTTAAAGGGGCCATAATCAATATTATAGTATACAATTGTGAAGGTTTTGTAGGCTTTGATAACATGTAAAGAGTTAAATGTAAACTAATAACTGTATGCGCGGTTTAGCATCATTCTCCATTGATCTGTGTGCGTGTGTAAGTGCCAAAGTATCTAATAGAAATCTTTGAACATTGAAATAATACTTATCTTTAATACAGGAACGATTTTAATCAATAAGGATTAATTCGATAAACGTGTAGCGCGAATTTGTGTAAATAAAATACATAGAGTATGTTATGTTTATATAAACTATAACACAGGTTTTAGGCAAATGCTGAACTGTTGATTATAGATAAAGTTATTTATACACGTTTTGATAACTTTGAACATGCGGCCAGTAAGAAAGGTAATACAAAATGTATGTTGCAAATCAATACCAGCAGTCTATTACCAAATGCAATAAATGTGTATGTAATAATTATTTTGTTTTGTTTTTTAAATATTTTCCGTCGCCATTCAAATGTGTTAATCCAATGTCTCCCAGTGCCGATTTAATGGGGAAAAGAAATGTGAAAATGTATGCAAACAACAATGCCTTTTCGGAACGCCTTCTGTTACGTGTCTTCATTAAGGAAATGGACATTCACTTTTGTAGGCTGTTAGAGAAGAAGCATGTTAGCACACTCGAATAATTAGATCTTTTTTCCAAGAGAATAAAATTATATTTTCGTTTAACGTTTTAACAAACTACTACTTTATGTAATCGAATTATTATTTTGTTTTAAGAAAATATTTTTCTTTTAAGTAATAATTTGGTTTATGGTTCATGTTTTCAGCAAAATTCTGTTCATTCATAGTTTTAAATGCTCATTATGATTCTGAGTAAAGATACACAACGTAATTATTCAACAACCTGAAATATTAAGCAGCTGTGGTCAACTAGATGTATTGGCGCCAACCTTAAAAAGCAAATCGATAGAGGGAGTACAAAGAAGAGCAACCAAGTGCCTCCCAGACATGAGTTACCTCAGCTACAACCATAGACTGGAAAGACTCCAGCTACCAACATTAGACTTCAGAAGAGTTAGAGGAGACATGATATAACTATATAACAATTTTAAGTGAGTATACGACCAGGAATGCTGCAATGCAGTCGTGTTATGGGATGACGTCGCTCAACGACACAGCCGTCGGGTCAACTCAAAAAAGATATACCCAAAACGATCTTTAACCATGCTAAGGAAAAACTCTTTTTCAAAAAGATCGGCATCAACATGGAATAAACTACATGTATATGTTACTTCAGCAGAAAATGTTAAACATTTAAAACTGAACTAGACAACCACTTGAAAAACAGAGCTGCAGAGCTGCAATCATATAATTGTCAAATAGTATATATTATATGCATAATAATAGCGTGTATGTATTTTTTGTGTCTGATATTGAGGGCTTTATGGATAAGTCCTAAACCGGAAATAAAATTATCTTCTCCTATCTTATAAATGAAAGTGATAAGTTATATCATGTTTTATCTTGAAAAAAGATTTATTTTTTCGAAATCGAACAAATTAATATTTTAGAAATTTGCTTACATTAAATGATTAATCCTTTAAAAAATTTGGAAAAAAACATGTTTTAATATTTTCTTTATCGATGCCATATTATCCCTATACACAATATACACCTAACAGTTTGTTACATTTTGTAGCATTTCAATTATTGGCGTTTTGTTAAGAACTGACACAATACCGTTTTTCTGGTAAAAACATAAATGTATTATTTATGATTTGTTATAAACTTTATCACCCGATCTCATTATATAGCATTATACATGAAAGAGACAGTTTCAATCTTGCTTCCGCACCTTCTCTTTCACTCTCGAACTTATCAGCGCATAACCGTATGTTAAAAATGTTATTTATACCTGTATTCATATGACTTGGAACACTTTTGCGTTTGCATTTGTGCAAAATTATGTACAGTAATTTTGTAATTGTATGAAGCGAAACTTGTAAAAGTGCGAAAATTCCTCTTGTATGCTAATTCACGTAAATATACAATATTGGATATTAATGGAAAACATGCTGAATATGTAAAATGGTAATGTATGGCACTACATCATATCAATACCTGTTCCATAATTGCAGGTTGATTTTTCTGTATAAGATATCTTTGTAAGTATTAGGTAATTGGACTAAAAAGCTTTTTTTAGCACATAAAATTGAATATAAATTTGTTTGTTTAGACAAAAGCAAAAGTGCCCGTAGCAAAAT